CAACCCACTACACCTACATGAATAAATGATTGATAATGCATCAAATCCCCACCCCTTCCCATAAAGATGGCTCTGTAGGATCACCACAAGCACTTTAATTATTCAACTTAACTTATCCCTATAAAGATGGTATTTTTTAATTGATTTTTTTCGGTCATTCTGATATTTGAATTCGCTCTTCGAACGTTTTAGGCTTGTTGTTTGTTTAATAATTCCATAATTTCGATCCGGAGCACTACTGAAGATTCATTAGTTGACAAAACGTGCACATACAGTGCATCAAAATTGGTTCAAGTAATTGAACATTTCGACTGCTATCATTAATTAGTGAAACTTCTCCATTAATATGATTTTTTTTAATATAAAACAAAACAGAAAAATCAGCAGAAAGTCCACAAAATGAAAACAAATTTAAAATTGCGTAATCCATAAAAGTACAGCCGACGCAACTAAAATGAAAATTTGAAGGCACTTTGCATGCATAACGTTATGTTTTGTTACGGCACAGTTCTTCGTCTTTGTAGCCACTCCCATAGTACACAAAAGCGGCAACGTCACTAAAGCTATTGTTCGACGTAAGGAAAGAAAACCTCGGCCGAAAATCGACCCGTGGCAGTCAACGTAGTATCTACAAATCGGCCTAAAATCGATATGTGGCACATAAGACCTGCCGAGTTATTAATTTTCAATAAAGGTCAGGTCATTTATTTTCAAACTACCACAGAACAAACCATTCATTTTTGTTGTTATCAAGGCTGATTTATATATTTTCAAAATCCTCCTGCCCCCCCTCCCCCCAAAATATCAAATGGTCGTCCCCTAACTAAGGGGTGAGCCGCCATGTTGACTTGCTGAAATCCATGAATGTGCGAATGATGCAATAGAATAGAAAATGAAACAAAATTACCTGAAAACTCCATTTTGATGCGATATTATGCGAATGTAGAGCGTACACGTAACGGAATAATCTTCAGCTTTTTTCATAGTTTTCATTCGTATGACGTTATGTTTTAACATGACGTTAATGCACCAAGATCATTCATGAAACCAGGAATATATATATATATATATATAAACAAGTCTAAATTGAAAACAACGTTCAAACCTATGATTGCGTTGGATAAAAACCGCAATTTTCATACGTGTGCATGTAAAACAATTTTCTGGTAGAGGGGTCTAAATACAGCACAGACAACATTTTCCAAAAGACCAAAAAAGTGAAAAGTATATTTTAACAAATCGCATTTGACTAACAGGTCGAACAACTGATGTTCTTAAACCCTGCTGACTGCCATTGACGATTGTCAAATAAATTGATCACGAGATGTAACATGGATCTTAATATATATATATATATATATGTTAGATATACTGTTCCCAGATGAAACTTCGCGGAATTTTATTTTATTTTGATTTTATACATTTTTTAAGATCTTATGCATTAATTCTATCTGTTATGCATTAGATTAGAATAGGAATAACGGTTCTGTAGTTCCTTTTTCGATTTCAATTTGAACATAACAAAATCCACACAGTGTTTGCACCGCATAGGTTACGATACATGTGGATTTACGTGGGAGGTAAATAGTAACAGCCATTAATATGTACATCCCTGAGTCTGCGCTAAGTATAGACATATCGAGAATTTTATCACGCTGTTGTTTACAAAGCGAAAGAAGCACGTCATATTAGAATTCTCGATAAGCACCTACTTTACACAAGAATGAACAACGCGTATATTTTCTTTTCAAGATAAAGAAACAATTAAACCACGTCCCAAGTCAGGAGCCTGTAGTTCAGTGGTTGTCGTTAGTTCATGTCTGTCATATACGTTTTTCGTAAATTGTATTGTTATAAATTAGGCCGTTAGTAGTTGAAATGTTTCATATTTTTCAGTTCGTGGCCTTTGAAAGCCGACTATACGGTATCGGGTTATTTCATTGTTAAAGGCCGTGCGGATGCCTATAATTGCTTAATACATCCACTTCATTTGAACTTTGGTGGATAGTTGTCTCATTGGCAATCATACCACATGTCCTTATTTTTCTACACTTTGCATGTTTATAACTAATATTTATTTTGTTGTGGAAAAGTAAACCTTCCGCATTCGCATCGCTTTGTTGACATCAGTGCTCTCTGACACTGACACGTCAGCGTCAGTATGCTTCAAAATTATTTCTGACAAGGCCCTCAGATATTGTATCTTAGGAAAAGAGCACGCGCTCGTCGTTTGAAAAATGCACAATGTTAAAGGGGACACCACATTCTGCCATATAACTTATTTGCAAGTCGTTTGGAATATTTATAGAATAACTAATCGAAGAATTCAAATATCGAATAATATTCAACGAGTCACCGAACAACACATTTATTCACGAATACGCGTAGTGCATGAGTTAATCATCAGTGTTGTTCGGCCAAGAGTTTTGATGCAAAGTATTCGACAACATCTTGACAACACCCATTGTTTTATGACGTCATAGGAGTGAAATTATCGGTTTTATTTCACTTGGAAATCCGTATTCATGCATGCGACCTTTAAGTTGTGTCCAATGACCCTTAGCTCGAGATGGACAACGCATGTGGTAAGCATTTTCAGGTATTAAAATCAAGAGTGCAGACACTGAAATGTCTCACCTGCTTTACTTTTGATGACTGAATTCATGTTGACAGTTATACAGACATCAATACACCTTACAATCACACTTTACACCATATATAGTTAGCCTATTGCGAATAGCATCCGAGAAACAGATCTAATTACGAAAAGTGAACATTGACCAATGAGCCATGATAATGAGGTCAATGTCTGATGAAACCTGCCAGACAGACATGTTATACCTTACAATCATTTCATACACCAGATATGATTGATCTTTTGCTTATAGTATTTGAAAAATAAGACCAAACCACAAAAGATTATCATTGAGCAATTAACCATAATGAGGTAAATGTCAGATAAAACCTGCCAGTGTGACATGTACACCTTACAATCATTCCATACACCAAATATAGTTTACCTATAGCTTATTGTATCTGAGATATTAAAAGACCTGACCACGAAAACTTAACCTTGATCACTGGTAGATGAAATGAGGTCGAGGTCGGGTGAACCCTGTCTAACAGACATGTAGACTTTGCAAGGACCCCGTATACCAAAGATAGTTATCATATTACTCACTTGTTATGAGTAATAGGATAACTATCTTTTGTACATGTATGTGGGGTTCTTCAACATTCTTCGGAGGTTAACTCGATGTTTATATAAATGGCGTCTAGTCTAAAATATGCACGAAATGCTGATACCTTATAAGGAGTCTAGCTATTTATTGTTTACTGTTTCTTTTGTATTTCTGTAATTTGGATATACGTTTTAGCGTGTCATAAATCAAATACAAGTAAAGACTTGACATGAATTTGACACCTTATGACACTTTGAGAAAAATTTGTGCACTATATTAGATATTGCTGTTTTCTCTAACATCTAGATAGCGAAGGTAGATGAAATTAAATTTCGAATGTAACTAAGCCATTTTATTGATATTCGGCGTAATGAAAAGATAGGCATGGAAATACCACAGGTATTTCCACCTAAGTCGAAAACAAAGCCATGGCAAATAAAGAGCTGCGCCTAAAGCGCATGATACGCCCGTCGCCATTTTAGCTCATTTCTATGCTTTATATGAATTTATATAACTAGAAATACTGTAAGCACTGCTCAAATACACTCCCCCCTAAAAAACAACAAAACAAAAACAAAAAACATGCACAGACAGTGGATTGGTACGGTACCCATAGACACAAAACATGAATAATTTGGCACTATTAAGGCTACGTCAAGTTCTGTGGCTTTGATTTTTGAACAATAAAATTCTATAACCGTCTAAAGTGTGAAAAATGGGCAGCTTTCCATCGAATTGAAACGGAACTTGTGTCAATATATATAAACAATTTACCAAAGTTTCATGAAAATTGCGAGTCAAATCATTTTAGAGTTTAGTCAGAAAACTGGAAACTACCCATTTTTTTAAGAAATAATATCCCATAACGCGGAACGTATAATCTAAAATTTATAGAAATCGAAAATGAGCTACATCAATAGATTAACGTTAACGGGCGTATAAAAACGATAAGAGACAAAAAGACAGACACGTCTACAAAACAGAATATAGAAAACTAAAGACTGAGCAACAAGAACGCCACAAAAAACATGCACCGACCTCAGGTGCTCCTGTAGGATAAGTCATTCCTGCTCCATATGTGGCATCTGTCATGTTGCTCATGTTAGTGCAAATTTTGTGATGTCTATTTCCAGAGCCGGATTTATGGGGCATGGGGCACGGCCCCCTTATGGAGCGTCATATATGATAGATGACTTTTTATAATATCACTCTAAACGTTGGCTTGCCAGGGGTCCAGTTTTTCAAAATCCTTGATCCGCACCTAATTTGATGATGTCACATTCGAGGAAGAGGACGGGATTGTGATTACGAAAATCGGAACATATATCTGTCGTCTTCTGTGAAACAGATATTCCATAACGGTGAACTAACTAGTGATGACGTCCGTAAAATGTTTAGAAGGGATCATGACTTTTAACTTCACCACTTGGAACCCTTAGTTTGGTAGCTTCCTTGCAAGCAGTAACCATCTACCAATGAATCATGATAGGAAACGCAAGCTCTGGAATATAACATTAACGGTACCAATTTTACTTCACCAGTTGCGCTTTTCGACAATTAATGTTTTTCAGATGATGCTCGAGGCCGAAATATTTGAGTCCAAAATATCATATCATGGGTGATGGAATGTTGCTACAAAGAAATTAGCGATTTATTCACAATCAGAATGATTTTGTTTAGTTGTTTATTGCCTCTTTCGAATTGTATTGTATATTTTTATTAGTTGTCAGATTTGAATCATTCACAGAATATGAGAGAACAAAACAAAATAACAATTTCCCATCTTTTCTAAATAAAAAAACAAACAAACAAAAAAAGTATGTGAACACTTGTTATATTGCTCAAATTCATTTAGTTATTTACAAGTTGTAAATTATCATACAATTCAATTCACAATTATAATGATCTCTCTTTCCAATCAATACAAAAAGAGCTGTTCATGAAACATATTTATCATTTTATATAGTTACTTGAAATGAGTAAATAAATATGGAACATATTGTAAGACATATACATAGTTACAAAATAATAATTTGTTTCTCAACATTATATACATGTACTAATAAACAAAATGTCAGCTCATTGTCTGCATGTAATTTAACAAAAAAAGTCCGACAACAGTTAGATGTTTGGATGACAAAATGACGAAATGACAGACATGGGCAATACAAAATGCCCAGCAGACAGCATAGCGGGATCATAATCAAAACAAACAAAAATATAAGAGACGGACAAATGGAGAAATACACTTGGATGATTGTCTTATGTTTTCACGACTCATTTCAAAATATCTCTAGATTTTTTAGAAGTTCATACTCTATTGTGCACGTTATTATATTTGTTCGTATTTCCTCCCACACGGGTCCTGATAACGTTTACTAAACGGTAGATACAATCCCGATTCTATTGAAGAAAAGATACATTTTGGATTATCCATATCAGTTAAGGATTATATATTATGACTTGCTTTACTCGATTTGTATCTTCTTTGCCTCCCGCTTTTCCTCCTTTGTTAATTTCTACAACAATTTGGACAACATGCAATCCTAACACACTCTGTAATTAGCTGTACTAGTTCGAAAAAACTTAAGACAGAGAATCCAATCCATAGGCCTACAGCACCACCAAAATCTGACATGAACTGTGCATTCTGAAAGGAAAAAAGTTATATAGGTTTGAAAATCTTGACCTTAATAATTTTAACGAAAATTACTTATAATAGTTATTTTGTATAGTTCAAGGGTTTGTTACAGCGAAATATTAACCGAACTTTTTGTGTTTTTGCTGTGCACATATTGATTATGTGCCATGGATGGATATACTCAATGTGCTTCCTTTTTTTATTAGACAATTTTCGTTGAAGCACTGTATAGGTTGTTATCCCTTGGAATCGTCTCTATGACTCCATCAGGACAACTGTTTCACTCATTCATGTCTGTATACTTTAGTTATCAAACAGAATTTCTTGTTATGTCTGTTAAACAGGTGGTTTAATGTAAGAGAGGACAAGATTAACTAAATAGCATATGTACACTAAACATATTCGGTGAATGCAAAATTTTGCAAATACTAAGACCATAATTTGTACCAGCCATTAAGATTATCTTTGACAGCGATATAAAAAAGACAAAACACTCCTCATTTTCTTAGACAACATAACTCAATTAAAATATATAATAACTGCTACATTGAACTTGCTATTTTGGGATCTTTTAATTTTAGGCATTGCAACCGTGTATATTAAGTAATTTTTGAATGGCAATTCTTTTATTCTCACCTCAATTTCTGGAGTTTCTACTATCCTCTCGTAATTCAGATCTTCATAAAAAATGTCAACTTTAACGTAGTCCAAACTAAAGTAAACAGGAAAATATATATATAATAGAACACATAACTTACTCCCGATACTATATGGAAACAAATTTTAAAAGTTTACAGTGTTGTTCGTCTTCTTTACGATACTGGTGGTTATTTCATATTGTCTTTCCCTGATACTTGAAACTGGCGGGTTTTTTTTTACCTTAAACTGGCGGGTTTTTTTTTGTGTACTAAGGCAATGCTGACATTCTCTGCCAGCAGAATTTATTCATTTTTAAAAAACGGTTTTTGATTTTTACTTTGTAAGTGAAACAGAAAATTAAGCTCTATACAAACTGGAGAGAATTATACTTAGACCTGATATTGTGTGCTCGACACAGCTTTTCTCTATCACTTACAACCTGGTATCTATAATGATTTTTACACGTATGCCACTGCACATGTGTAGTCTGTATCTAAAGCTACGTGTAGTCAATCTAGATGTTTATCTTGTCAGGACACAATTATTCACAGATAGAAATAATTAACTATAAGGAAATGTGCATATGCACTTCAAAGAGAACACAAATTTACGAACTCAAAAAAGCATGAATGATATTTAGTAATAAGATAGGTAGCTTTTCTTCTACCATTTTTCAATTTGTACTGAAATAAAACCATTTCATTTTTTAAGTATCAGGTAAGACGTTATTTTATTGAGAAAAAAAAACATGACAAAATATAGAAAATTTAATATTCAAGACAGGGTCTTGGTTAGCGGAAATTATTTTTTTAATCATTACCTCTGTCCACCTTTCCTTGGAAATACGGTTAAATTTGCCCTTAATGTTTTTTCCCTCTTCTACCATCATATTTTTCTTGCGCTGTACTGAGGTTTCGCAAGATGCCCAAGTCCATTAGATATTTGATATAAAATATCGAACAGTTATCCCTGTTTAACCGAACGATTTTTGTAAGAGTTAATTCATAAAGATTGTTATAACTTTTCATTCACAACCTTAAAAGATATCGACAAAAAAATCAGAAGTGTTCATTATATCCTCATGATGTCGCAATCGGCCTAAGCGATCTAGTGACTCGTAATAAATGTTATTGTTATCCCTGTATTAGAAATACTTGAAACATAAGTGTAACTCCGTAGCCGTACATGAAAGAGGCCAAGGGTCTTTTGAGTTGGTTCATTAAAAGGTAACTAAAGTCAAAGTCATGTTCATTATATTGCTTTTTATCGCTCCTCCTCAGAAGCAATAACAAATATAGACTAAAGGATTTCATGTCGTAACTGAAAAAAATTGATCGAAACGGTATTGTGACATTTAATAGGTTTTCTCCCCTGAAATGTTTGAAATAAGTTGCATGGTGATATACCTAATTTACCATATATTATAGCGACGTAGGTATTTCTATGTGAGATCTTTTTATATGACCTTAAATTGAGGCCAAGGTCAAAGAGCGATTTTCTTCCTATATTTTTATCTTTACTATAATTTTATGTAGGTACCTAAAATAGCAATATGATATTTTGCATAAGGTTCAGACATTTGACCTTGTAAAAGGTGAACATGAATGGATCTCGCATCAAACGGAAGCAGCCTTTTTAGCACTTTTTTTTATGTACCCTGGACGATAAATTTTTTGAATCAGTGAAGTAACCTATTATGTGACACCAAAGTGACATCTTGTTAACCGGAAGAAGCAAATCATCTCCCATATTTCAATTAAAAGTATATTTAAACCTTTGGCTTATATTTTTGGGATCACTGCAAAGTAAAATAATTTGACACTGGAAGTGACCAGGTGTAAGAAGCACTGCAAGAAAAATTTCGTTCTAACACCGGAAGTGAGTATTTTGTTCCTTATGTATTCCCCAAGAAGTGAATATGAGGTTGGTGGAAAGAGAACAATTTTTTAAAATTTTTGTCGTCACTTTTACTTCTTGCATAGTATTTTGATTTCGCTAAATGTCGATAAAATTTTAAGTAAAATATATCAAACAGTTATTGCGCTTTTGAAACTCGCTCTGTTTAACTGAAAACGTTTCTTTGTAGAGTAATCTCACAAAACACCGTTTTCTTGTTATTATACTATTCAAAATTCTTTTACCAAATTGTTTTCTACATCATCAGGATGTCAAAAATAATTTCGATCTCATCGATCGACTACATACGTGAGTTATTTCCCTTTATGTAATTTACATAAGTGAGATGACGTATGTGTGACTCTTTTAATCCGTAAGTGATAAAGACCAAAGGGTCTTTAGTTTTGAGTTCCTTGGTCCACCAAAAGGAAGTTACGGTCATGGCCAGAGGTCGCAGTCATGTCCAAAATTTTGACTTTTGCTTGTTATTGCTACTCATTAGACACCTTAATGATAAAAGCCAAAAAATTTGCCAAAATGTCAGAAACAAGTGAAATTTGGTTGAAAATTGTACCGTTACATTCTATAGAAGTTTTCTATCATGGAATGTTCGAAATAGGTTATACGATGATAGAACTCATAACCAAAAAAATGTAGAGACTAAGCGTCTTTCGATGCGAGATCTTGGTTTTATGACAATGTAATAGAGGTCAATTTTATTTTCCAAATTTTAAACTTTGCTATAACTTCATACTGGTACACGATAAAGCCATGACCTTTTCATTAGTTTGAAGTCCATGTACAAATAACATTCAAAAGATTCAATCCGAAGTGACATTTTTAAATGAAGTATTGTTTGCACTTATTTCATGTAAAAGTATCTAAAACCATATATTATTAGAATTGGTGTGAACTAACCTATCATTTAAACCGGAAGTGACGTTTTGTAAACTTCATGAAGCTATTTTTGCATTTATTCCGTGTGAAAAATCTAGAACCAAATATTTTTATAATCAGAGTGAAGTAACCTATCATTGAAACCGGAAGTTAATATTGTAAACTAAAATTAACAAATCATCTCCCTTATGTCACTTACAAGAATATATAAAACCACATATTTACTTAAGGGGTCACGTAAAAGTCTTTTATTATTTGAAACCATGCGACTGTATAGTTCGTCCAATGTTGCTGGTAAAGACTGAACGATAAGCCGTTGACAGCGAACGACCTTCAAGAAAACGTATTTTCTACACTTTGAGAGACAAAGAACAACATATAGATATAGAAAGATGTGGTATGAGTGCCAATGAGACAACTCTCCATCCAAGTTACAATTTATAAAAGTAAACCATTATAGGTCAAGGTACGGCCTTCAACACGGAGTATTGTCTCACACCGAACAGCAAGCTATAAAGGGCCCCAAAAAATTACTAATGTAAAACCATTCAAACGGAAAAACCAACGGTCTAATCTATATAAAAATTCGTAAGGGTTCCACGGAACCCAGTGTCTCGCCTACTTTTGCCGTTAGTCGCAGGCTCAACAAAAATGGGGAAAAATTATTAAAAATTTTCCTCTAGATACTATCTTTTGATTGTAAGAAGTTCTGTTCAAGTTTGGTAAAAATCCAAGAAGGTTTAATATGAATCTAATAAATGTTTCAAAAACTTTAACTGCAGACTGTACGTAATGTTAACTGGAATAAAACTAAGTCCATTTATAAGTAATATACGGAAAAACAGGAAATAAATTTTTACAAAATTTCCTTCTAGATACTAGCTTTTGATCATAAACAAGCTTCTGTCCAAGTTTGGTAGAAATCCAGGATAGTTTAAGAAAGTTATTAAAATTTTGAAAGCTTTAACCACAGAGTGAATGTAATGTTAACTGGCAGAAAAACTAAGTCCATTTATAAGTAAAATACGGATAAACAGGATTTTTTTTTTAACAAAATTTACTTTTGAATATTATATTATGATCACAAACAAGCTTCTGTCCAAGTTTGGTTGAAATGCAGGATAGTTTAAGAAAGTTATTAAAATTTCAAAAACTTTAACCACAGAGTGAATATTTGTGGACGCCGCCGCCGGAATGTAGGATCGCTATGTCTCACTTTTGCGACAAAAGTCGCAGGCTCGACAAAAACAAGAAACAAGAAACACGTATGAACTACATAAACAGACGACAACTACTGTAATCAGATTCCTGTATATTTAATCATAGGATAGCTGTCTCCCGACTCCGGAAGTTACATTATTTTCTTTCTTAATTCTATTTAACAACAAATAGATGATATACCTTCAATTGATGTTCCTAAAAAAAAATTTGTGTGTGTTGTTTAATTTTTTTTTCATTTTTCCTGTCATTTATAGTGAATTGTAAATCAGTGGTTGTCGTTTGTTGCTGTATATTCAAATTTTTTTGTTTCGTTCCTAGTTTTAAGCATAAATCAGGCTGTTAGTTTTCTCGTTTGAATTATTTTACAATTGTCATTTCGAGGCCTTTTATAGCCGACTATGCGGTATTCAATTGGTTTTGCTCATTGTTGAAGGCTGTGCGGTGACCTACAGTTGTAAACTTCTATGTCATTTGGTCTCTTGTGGGGAGTTGTCTTATTGGCAGTCATACCACATCTTCTTATTTTTATATTCGCACCAACATTTGCATGTTTACTATACATGTCCGTATATCGATCATCTAATGATATCCACGTAGAAATTAATGACTAAATCGCGATACAACAACAGAGTGATTAAAATGCAGTCTTTATGGCATATGACTATGACAGAGAAGATTAAATGAGAGCCTGTTAACTGTAAAGAAAGTCTATTTATCAATCACAAGCTCTTGAATAGCAAATTATCTATAAGATGGAAACATTCATCAATGGTCTATTTTTGGAGATGTTGTCTAATAATAAATGAAAACAAAAATGTTAATATTATTTTGGTTAAAAGTTAGGCTTTATGAAAATATGGTGATGTGGTACGACTGCTAATGAGACAATATCCACCACATACCAAATCATGTGGATGAAATCAACTATAAGTCACTGTATTGTCTTCAATAATGAGCAAAACCAATACATAAACTGTTTAAGTGTCCTCAACGGGTAGTATTTTAGTGTTTAATGTAGGGAAAATAAATGCTTGTATATTTCTATGAGAAAATTAGGTTTGAAATTGAATTTAAATAAATCTTCAAGTGTTTATTCTAGGAATATTTGTACTTAATACCTTTTTGTAGAGAGGTCTTTCCCCATATATAGTAATGTAGCATCAATGCATTTCTGTGGAATTCTAGAGCATACACTTTCATTTATCAAAATAGTCTGAAAAGCAAGATAGTATATACATGTAATCATATCCTTAGTAACTTATTGTGTAAAAAAAGATTTAAAACTAATTAAGAATATATACAATGAAACTCAAATATAGATTCTTTCTAAACTTTTGCACAATATCAAAACATTTGACATATAATGATTATGCGCTACACTAATATTCCTAGTTCTCAATTTAAAGATCGACTACATAATTTTCTTCTATAATGGGAAAGAGACATGGCGTATCAAATTATAACACGAAATTCTGACACTCACTGAACAAAACACAAAGCAAAGAAACAGTGTTTCGATTGCCGTGCTTAATGTCAAAGTCCCGTGAAAATTTTCATTACGAAAATAAAACGCACAAATAACTGCAATTTCAGGACAGTCTCCAACATCGATTTCAGCCTAAAAAAATGTTAGATTTAGATAACGGAACATCTGTACATTTAAAAATAAACTGTTGACACAGAGATATGTGTCGCCTGTCGGTATAATATTCAGAAAAAGACAATCTGATGGACAGCAACATTGCTTATCAATTCTGTCGCTGGACCATGATCTAGTGGGCAAGGCCTGAAAATGGTCGACAAACTGAGATGTACAGACAGTAATGTAACTTTATAGAAAATATCGTTGTCTATTGCAAGTATGTTCCTATCAATCTAACTTAAGCAGGAAACTTAACATTGAAAATTGCTAATTAATTTAAAGTCACTGAGATATCCTAGCGGGCAGGGCCTCAAAATAGTAGTCAAACTGATATGTACTGATAGTAATGCAATCTATTTTATTCTACATTGGCTAGAGGTATAGTGGGAGGGTTGAGATCTCACAAAACATGTTTAACCCCGCCGCATTTTTGCGCCTGTCCCAAGTCGGGAGCCTCTGGCCTTTGTTAGTCTTGTATGTTTTTTTAATTTTAGTTCATTTTTATGTTTCAGAGTTTAGTGTGGCGTCCATTTTCACTAAACTAGTACACATTTTTGTTTAGGGGCCAGCTGAAGTCCGCCTCCGGGTGCGGGATTTTCTCGCTGTGTTGAAGACCCATTGGTGGCCTTGTGCTGTTTTCTACTCTTTGGTCGGGTTTTTGTCTATTTGACACATTCCCCATTTCCATTCTCAATTTTTTATGGCAAGTAGTTCTTATCAAACTGACTTAAGCAGAAAACTTCATATTGAAAATTGCTAATTAATTCAAAGTGGCTGGACCATGACCTAGGGGGCAGGGCCTCGAAATAGTCGTCAAACTGATATGAACTGATAGTAATGAAACTTCATACAAAATATCATTGATCTATCACTAGTAGATCCTATCAAACTAACTTAAGCAGAAAACTTAACATTGAAAATTGCTGATTAATTCAGTCACTTGACCAGGGCCTCAAAATATTCGTCAAACTGATATGCACTGATAGTAATTGCGACTTCATACAAAATACAATTGATCTATCAAAAGTAGATCCTATCAAACTAACTTAAGCAGAAAACTTATTGATAATTGCTAATTAATTCAAAGTCACTGGATCATGACCTAGGGGGCAGGGCCTCAACATAATCGTCAAACTGATATGTACTGATAATACAACTTTATTATATTAAATATCAATGATCTATCACAAGTAGTTCTTATCAAACTAACTAAAGCAGAAAACTTTACAATTGTTGATGCCGTCGTCATCGTCGCCGTCGCCGGAAAAGCAATCCCTGTGTCTCGCTTTTTGCGATTTTTCGTCGCAGGCGAGACAAAAACCTCATTAGTAGAGTAATATCAACAAATTAAATGATCTGTGATTTCAATAACAATTATACAGAAGTGAAAATTGTTAAAAGTTCTTGACTTTTTTATGTATGACATCATTCTATTCCCTTTATAGGATGATAATATAACAGACAGTTGGTATTCTGATGGATCTAGTTTTGCTTCCTTCCTAACTGATGTATTCTTGTACCCCGAAGACAAAATATATCCAAACCTTAGCCACTTAGCCAACATATCTTCAAAGGGATTTTCAAAACCATGTAATACACCAAATGTTTTTGCAATACAGATTTGTGTTTATCCTTAATTTGGTGTCTTTTGACAGTTGAATATACAGGTATGGAGCACAGCATGTTGCTTTTGTGGTTTCTTTCATTTCTGATAAATTTGGTAATTAGGTGGCGGTGGAGGATCCTAATTAGCTTTAGATAATTTTCTGGGTTTTTTTTATGTAAAGGAAATACAACACCTATAAATCGCCAGCTAAAATCAAAGGAATTTATATTAAGCTTACATCTTACGATTTCTAAGTAACTTTTTTCTGAATCATACTAACCAGATAGTCTTCCGATGGCCAATTTCGATGACTGATGGTTTTCAAAAATTGGTTTTCACTGAAAAGAAAATCAATTTAGGCACCTGGTATCAATCCGTTTAGATTTCATGCTTTTAATATAAGACATAGTGCATAGGCTAGCTGATAAACTGATATTGGAGGAATTAATGATACAAGTCTTAAAGATAAAGGCTATACATGTGTACTACAAGTATTACATAAACTTAAAACTCAAAGATCCATATGAACGAGGGCAATGTCAGATGAAACCTGACAGACGGACATGTACACCATAACGCCTTTTCAATTTTTGTTTTGCGGAAAAGGGGAATTATTATATTTTAGAATTGTTTGTCACTGATGACGAAGATATTCCAGATTGTCATGCTTTTTCAGCCCTTGTTGGTTTATCAATGACCTTGAGTACGGACACAGTTATGACAAGGACTAAATATAATAAAATGGAAAGAGTAATGTTTAAAGTGAACGATAATGTATTGATGCATATCACATAGTTAAACTTTACATCTAAAATTCATCTTTCAAGTTTGCATGCATATACCATGCAGACACTAAAGAATATCTCTTTTTTTTACACGCACGGTTACTTGCTCAAACAGCTTAAAGGGGCATTAGTTGTCAAATTCATGTTCACCGATATGACTCAAATTCTCATATTTGATTTATAACATACTAAAACGTTTAATATCCAAATTACAAAAAGTCTAAAATAAATAATTAGCAATGGAAAGAATCGTTATAATGTAATACGGATTCAAATGAGGTTGAATTATTGACTAGCAAGCCAATAACACGCCAGCGAATTTTAAAACTTATTTCGACAAAATTACCATGAATTTAACGTTTTCAGGTAAATTTCAATAGTTTCCCATTAGTTTCCACAGTTTGTGTAGTGATTGACATTTTTTGTAAACTATAATTTTATCAGATAACCATACAACCACTATGAAAATTAGGTCGCGGTCAGGAAAACAAAAAAAGTAACCTGTTGTTTAGAGCATCTGAGAAATAGAACTAAGCACGAAAACTTATTGTCATCAAATGAGCAATAAATGTGAGTTCAAGGTCAGATTGATTTATCAATGCCAAACGGATATTTATACCTTACAATCATTCCAAACACCAAACATAGCTGCCCTATTGCTTATCTGAGAAATAGACCAAACCACAAACCTTAAACTTAACCATGAAAATAAGACCGAAGTCAGGTTAACTGAGCCTGATGACATGTAGACCTTGCAAGGATCCTATATACCAAATATAGTTATCATATTACTCATATTACGTGAGAAATTCAGACGACAAAACAATATTTTTTTGAGCAGGCGATGAATCATATAAATGAGGTCAAGAGTAATGGACATATGACAAACGGAAATTTCGCAACATAATGACATAATGAACCATGAAATGAGGGCAAGGTCATATGAAACCTGCTAGTCAAACATGTACACATTACAATCATTCCATATATCAAATATAGTGGCCCTATTGCTTATAGTATCCGAGAAATAGATCAAACCACAAAAAATAAACATTGTCCACTGCACCATGAAATTGAGGTCTAGGTCAGAAGAAACCTGCCAGTCTGACATATACATCTTACGGTCATCATATACACCAAATACAGTTGGCCTTTTAATTAATTTTTTGAGATACAGACTTGTCCACGAGGTCAAGGTAAGGTGAACTCTACCTGACGGACACGTAGACGTAGCAAGGAACTCGTATGCCAAATATAGTTATCCTATTACTCATAATAAGTGAGCATTTCACTTGACAAAAATGTAAAAAAAAATTCAAGCAGTCACTGGCCCATGAAAATGAGGTCAAGGACAATGGACATATGACAGACAGAAACTTCGTAAAATAAAGTATCTGCATACAAGGTATGAAGCATCCATGTCTTCCGCCGCCGCCGGATTGATATCCCTGTGTGCTTTTTTAGGATGAGCTGGTTGTAAAAATCATGGTCTGTTGCACTGTCCAATATTTTTGGTGATTCCTGTTCACCTTTTTCTGTATTATCCTATATCGAGAAATATACTGACGTACTCAAAAACGCAACACACATTTGTTTTTTTTCTTTTTATTTAATCATATCATGATTAATCGTTATTTTATTGCTGTTCATGCTTACCAGATAAGATAGATAAATTCAATACCTGACTTATCGGAGATGATTGGACATACCGGATTATTGACGTCGTATGATTTTTAGGTTTTTTGCTTCGTGAAGAGATTTCTACGAACCCATACCCACACTTAAATCTGTAAAAATTGTTCTGTTCCATACTAAGCACAGAAAATCAGAATCAGGTCATTAGAATGTTGCAGGCAGGAATAAGACAACATGCTGATTCTCGACATATTCACGCCAGAAATACTCCTTTCGTTCCTAAAACAACACTACAGACAGAAGGGATTTGTAAATGGCCACCCATGATTGCCCAACCTGTAGTTTAAACGCCAAGTCAAAATTGTCAATACGCAACGCCATCGCGAGAGAAGTTTACGACTGCAACACCAAGTACTGACCAAGTCGCTGGGTTCATGGGAGACTGATTTAGGTCAAAACTGTTTTCCATTTATATAAATTCCACAGAATCCTCTGCAGAAAATAATCTTAAGGGTGGTCAAAATAAGTGCAGTATGCTTGATATAGGCAATTTCAGTAGGGACAAAAAGAAATGTTTAGATATGTAATTTACAGGTACATGTATTGCATTTTTTTTAAATCAAAATATCTGGTGTTGCGTTTTCAAAGTCCGTCAGTATATTATTGAAACTCGTTTTGTAGCGCAACAAAATCAAAGAAAAATAAAACAAAACAAAAATGCCAAAAAAAAAAACGAGGTAAAAGCGGCAAAAACTTGCTGAACTGTAAAATACTGGTCATACGATTACGCACACCTTTTTTTGTGTAAATTATAAATTCGCTTATGTACAATGGTCCAAGTACCATTCTTGAAAAAAATTGTTTTAACAACACTTGTTACAAGTAAATTCCCAACCCGTTTGATCTTATTTACCAACAAAATGCTATCATAATAACTTTTAGTATTACTATATAATAACTTTTAGTATAACTACATAAAAACTTTTAGTATAACTGTATGATAATGTTAAGTATCATTATATAATAACTTTTAGCATACATAAAATAGACAGTATAGTTATAATACATTTTCAGTATTCTGATGGTAGTTTTATATGTTAAAAACAAGTTATACTTTAATTCTTATATGACCCAAACAAATTTGAAAAAAGACTGACGTACCTACAAGGATTCCAGCACTTACAATCCCCTTTATTTTTATTTTGTCTGATTAGCTCTTTGTGCATACATTCCTTTTCTGACAAAAAGAGGAAATGACATTATTATCATATTGGTTGAGCAACTGCAACTGCTTAAGGATGTTCGCTCCTTTTGTTTTTGAATTGTTGCCAGATATTCGGAATCCTCTGGTTTTATCCATGTAGTGCCAGTAAAAATTTTGCCCACTAACCCCTACTTTTCTTTCCATAATTTGATTACATATAGTTTAAAATGTCATCTTTGAAAATCTTATAAAATCCTTGTTATTTTTTCACCGTTTTTGAAAGAAAAAAGGTACCAATGTTAAATGTATGAAAAATCTAGAGAGAATTATTTCCCGCCAAATTTTCAATGGCTTTTATCTCGAAAACAAGCACACGGACCCTTCATTTTTTTCTGCTTTTTTAGTTTATTTATTTATATACTATCAATTTATAACAGTCTTTTAAAAAGCTTGTTATTTTGAAACCGAGAAGGGAACATCCTTAAATCACTTTCGAGCTTTAATTGTTGTTAGTACATGTACATCATGCCACTCTTTAAGAAGAAAATCATTTTTAAAGTGGATTAATAACATATGTATTTAGGTAAACATGTATCTTTAAAAATGTAACATATCTATTAATACTTCAAATGTTGGGAAATTGATATAGCATTACTATTCAGATCAATATAAATCATTTAATTCATATTTCTTTCTAAAATAACCTCAGACGCATGTATCTTTAAGAAGCTAATGTGCAGGGGTTGCACCAACTTAATATTTGTTTGTTTTGCAGGTCGAGAGCATGCATTTATACATTAATAAAGCCGACAAAGTCTGAATAATAGAAGTGTCTATGAAAGTAGCTGCATGTATTCGAAGGGTTGATTGTGTTGTTTATTGCTTGCGTAACTTCCAGTGAGAAATATTTCATGCATATTCAGTATAGCCAAATATTTAGAAGTATCAATTTTGATGTGCAGAAAAAATTTGCCAAGGAAAAAAATATCCTCGATTATCAGCGCAAAAACGTCAAATTTTGACGTTACTAATTGTGTCTCAATATCGTGTGTAACGTCGTAGCTTTCATTAGTCGAGTAATGCCTTTCCTTGTTGGCTTTATATAGGATTTATACAGTTCATGATGTATAGTGTGGCAAGTAGATAGTGTACCTTTCAGATCAGCTATATTTGTTCTGTGGTAAAGGATGATAATGTTACTTACCATGCCGTCACATCAAATTTTGATTATATTATATACGATTGAAATGTGTATCACTTTTAAGAAAATATATTTTCTTGGATCTATTAATAGAAGAAAGCACCGTATTTATTTTATTTTCAAACGATTTCCTATCTATTACGCATATTTTTTTTTTTTAAGAAATACATAAATGTTATCAATAAAGCAATGCATTATAGGATGTAGAATTGCAAAAATTTCTGAAAATTTTTAATTCTGTCTAGTTTTACACAAATTTAGATATCAATTAATTTTTTTAGGGGTGTTCAAGTTAACAATCTCAGTAGCACATACCTGATTTATTTGTACAAAATTTGTTTACCAAGGGAGATACATCCTTCACATCAGGTGCATGACAATCACATGTATGGAAGATCCAATCATTTGAGCACAAAATCTGGCATAACTGAAAATAATGCTTCGTAGTAAAATTGTACAATAAAATGACAATTCGTAAAACACCTTATAACATAGGTTCGAGATCTACTGTTGAAATTTATTGTTCAACCTATGGCACCAATTTTTTTTTTCTGTTTTAAGTTTTCTATTAATCTATAAAATTTTAGATATGAAAAAAATTGTTTCAGTTTACACATGTAGTATCATGACATTACAACCTTTTGTCTACAATTTCTTTCGTCGTGGTTTTGATTGTCACTTTAGTTTCAACTTACTCTTATTTGTTTATATTATAACATTATTTGGACTGATAAATGGTTTCTGATAAAATAATGTTATATACTCACATATCGTGTATACTTATATCCATATATTCTTGAATAATTACGATCTCCACTACAATTTCCGTATAGTCCACCTAGTCTTTCAATGGTAACCTAAACATAATTTAGTGTACGTAAAGAATTATTAACATTTGAGGTGAAGACACACACATTTTATGACAAACATTGCCATAATATTCTCCAAGACTCGTTATAGTTATTATAGTTATTAACTATTTATCTTACCTCCTATACATTTCTAGGAATATGATTGGTTAAAAGCGTCCGCGTGGAGACCGTGTATATTTCATATTAGGTTAGTAGGGAGGCGGGGTTTATTTCATACACGGTTAGTAGTGGAGTTACGTCCCTTTATATTCCATATTAGGTTAGAAGGTAGGCGGGGCTTATTTCATACGGTTAGTAGTGGAGTTACGTCCCTTTATATTCCATATTAGGTTAGAAGGGATGCGGGGCTTATTTCATACACGGTAAGTAGTGGTGTTGCGTCCCTTTATAAAAACAAAACGGTACTGTGATAAATCTTAAAGGTTTCAACAGACGAAGAAATTGATGATTAAGATTGAAATAAATTCACAAACACATTTAAACCTAACAAGTTGTTATTATTGGCATCTGTTTTTGTAGGATCAATAAAAATAGTATCTTAATGCTAACAGTATTGGAGACTTGCTCATTCTGATAGGTCACTAGTCTAAATTTCACATGTTAAGATAGTCGGTAAGATAAATTCGTTACATAGTGTGCTAGTGACGTAATACGGTATATATGGGGTCAGTAAATTCCACATGGGGATTCGAGCTTCGCTCTCACCCCATATGGAATTTACTGACCCCATATATACCGTATTAGGTCACTAGCACACTATGTAACTAATAATATTCTGATTAGAATATCTTCGTATTCGAAGATACCTTACTTCGACGTTGGATCCAGTTTCTATGTAGCAACATTCTAGCAGCACATACATATGGATTGTATATCCCCTAGATAATACGATCATAATTTACTTGATAGAGGGTTGTTGCGTACAAGGAATCTATTGAACCAAGGGGTTTCCAGGTGGTAATGTTGAAGTTATCCCTTCGAATGTTATACGAACGCCATCACGAGTAGGTTGACAAAGTGGAATATATGTGTCACAGATAACACGGATATGTTCCAAATGTCAAAACCACAATCTCGGCCTCTTTTCCTCGATTGTGATATCACTGCCTGAGTTAGACATTTGCGGAATTGTACTTGAATGAGCAAAACGACAAGTGTCACACGTGGAGCAGAAACTCATTAACATTCCGGAGCACCTAAGATCACTCCTGTTGTTTTGTTTTTGTTTTGTTTTGTTTTGTTTTGTATTGTTTGGGGGGTTGATCAGTCCTTAAGTTTTGTAGATTGATGTTTGTTTTTCATTCGTATTAGTTTAATGGATTTTTCGTGTCCCCTTGGTATACAGAACCTCTTTTCTTACAGCGTCGGACAAGACAACATCCCTACAAGCAGTATTTTTAAATAGACATTTATTCATTTTTATATGTGTATGTTGCGAAAATTCAGCGAAAATGCAAAGGAGATGACGAATCGTTTAGTTTTGACGGACATTAATTTCCCTCCAACTATACATGTACGATCCACATATGAAGAAACAACATGCAAGATATATAAATCAACACTTCATAGAGAAGTGGTAGAATTTGTACAAAATGATATGTGGTTTAAAAGGAAACCAGGATTTAGAAGTTTATTTACTAGTACTTAAATCTCACAAAAGGAATAATGAAAAAAGGAAATAAATCCTTATAAGCAAGTATAATTAATATTCATCAAGTGTCAAAATTTATAAACCAGCAACATGGGTCAAGGGTTTGACAAATGTATAAATAAAAGGTTGTTATTCTTGGTCAAGGGTATCAAATCTATTTGATAGTAAAATTCTTGGAGATAATTTAGAAAATTAATCGATTGTAACAGTTATACCATTACATGTTTTAGTAATCGATTGTAACAGTAATACACCATTACATGTTTTAGTAATCGTTTGTAGCAGTAATGCCATTACATGATTTAGTAATCGACGGTAATACCATTACATGTTTTAGTAATCATTGACACAGAGATATGTCTCGCTTGTCCGCATAAAATTCAGAAAAAGACAATCTGATGGACAGCAACATTGCTTATTAATTCAAAGTCGCTGGACCATAATCTTGTGTGCAAGGCCTAGAAATGGTCGACAAACTGATATGTAATGATAGTAATGCAACTTTATACAAAATATCATTGATCTATCACAAGTAGATCCTATCAAACTAACTTAAGCAGAAAACTGAATTCAGTCACTGGACCATGACCTAGGGGACAGGGCCTTACAATAGTCGACAAAACAGATACGTACTGATAATAATGCAACTTTATACAATATATCATTGATATATCATAAGTATAACCTATCAAATTAACTTAAGCAAAAAACTTAACATTGAAAATTGCTTATTAATTTAAATTCACTGGACCATGTCCAGTAATGCGACTTTCATGCAAAATATCATTGCTCTATCACGAGTAGATCCTATCAAACTAACTTAAGCAGAAAACTTAACATTGAAAATTGCTTATTAATTCAAAGTCACTGGACCATGACTTAGGGGACTGGGCCTCAAAATAGTCATCAAACTGATATGTACTGATAGTAATGCAGCTTCGTATTTAATATCAATGATCTATCACACGTAGTTCCTATCAAACTAACTTAAGCAGAAAACGTAACATTGAAAACTGCTTAGTTAATTCAAAGTTGCTGGACCATGACCTAGGTAGCAAGCTAGGCCTCGAAATAGTCATCAAACTAATATGTATTGATAGTAATGCAACTTTATATCAAATGTGACTTTCGTCGCAGGCGAGACAAAAATCAAATTGTGATCGTGATACCAATTTGATTATTTTTTTGTCATGTTGTGGTGTCACTGAACAATTCAATGGACATAATTTTTGACAGACGAAAAATTTGTAACATAACGTATTTGCAAACAAGTTATGAAGCATCCGTGTTGTACCTTCTGAAATTTAAAGCTTTAAACATATAGTGTACGCCGTCGTCGCCGTCGTCGGATGTAATCCATATGTCTCGCTATATGCGATTTTCGATGCAAGCGAGACAAAAAAATTGTTTAAGACGGCTAAATAATGGCGTTTAACTGTAAAAAAAGTGCAACTATTTCATATTTATTTGGTTTTATTCAAAAGCTATGATAAATGCGCAATGACAAAAAAAAACAGGTCAGCAGTATTGTTTCATTTTAAAACTTGAATGAGCTAGAAAGCTTCAAATTGTGTCTAGCGACTGTTATTTAAATAACACGATTTTATGTTTATCGATATATTACTGTTCTTTTTCCCCTTCTTTAGATAGTTTTACGATTAACGAACGAAGCTTGATTACGTCTCATGTGAAGTCGCATATAACTTCTCCTCAGACATTGTGACGTCGCGGATAGTTTAAGGTGGTAATACCTTGACTAAAATTAATTCGGCTCGTTCAATTTTCATAAAATTTTGACAAAATATTTACTTTGACCCTTTGAAAAAATATAAAAAATTCAAAAACTTGAACCACACTTTACGCGGAAAATTTCATTGGATATATAGCAGTTTGACAATCGTAACTACTCGGCCATTCTCGCTACGCCTACAATAACTTACAATTAATAAAGTTATTGTAGGCGTAGCGAGAATGGCCGAGTAGTTACGATTGAGCAGTTTGACAAACATTAATTTTGATCATTGAGAAGCTTAATATTTCCTTAACAATAGAATGTGATCAAAACGTTCAGTTGATTTTTACAGAGTTACTTCCCGACATGTAGTGTTATGTACCACCTTAAACATATTTTATTGTCCAAAACAGTGACAATATACCCGTACGAAATATTAAGCAGGATTCCTGCCAGACTATAGCAGGAATTCACATGGAATTAGCAGGAAATTTTAAATTCCTGTTAGTTTTAAGACGTACTAGGAAAAACTTCAGTTTTTCTGGCAGGATTTTTCATTTTTCTACAACAACATTCCTGGTATGGGTAACAGGAATAGTGTTTTCCTGTCAGAAAATCTTTCTACCAGGAATTTTTTCTTATCTAAGCAGGATTGTTATCTTGACAGCTATTGGTTTGTATTCAATTATCTTTAACTGGATTCCGGTTTGCCAATAACATTAATTTTGCTGTGTTATACGAAACCAGGTTCCAGTTAACATATTTAAAAGTTGTAGGGTAAAAGATTCAGATTGTGTATAAACAATGCTGCAAAGATTGAATAATTTCCAGGGAAATATTTGAATGTAAGACAGGATTGCTTATGAAGGTATTTAAATTTAATTAAGCTACACTTTTTAAAAAATTTTAGAGGAAGTTTTAATTTTTTTTCTAATTTGCATGATAATCAAATTAATTGAACTAATTAAAAATGGAAATCTTAGTCTTCAATCATATTTTGTCTCATATACATGTATTATAAGTCCATCTGATCTACATTTTTGTTGTATACATAATAATTAATATACCAATACTTCTAAAAAAAATATTTTTTAGATTGAACAAAAAAAAACTTTTACATTTATTTCCATCATAATGAAATTCAAAAACAGATTACAAACCAGGTTTATAACACAACTTTCATATGTGGTTGCTACTTCATGAATTTAAGAGTCAAATATTGCAACAAGAAGTTTTACATGTGTCTTCTTTGTTCTTTGTATCTGAGATTCAAACTTAATGAATGACCCAGATGTGTATATGTGTATAGTAATAATACACCGATGTTTTTAATGTATATTTTTAGATGCCTGCTAGAAAACCAATTTTCCTAGTAGGAATTTATGAAAAAAATCCTACCAGGCATTTTCAAATCAGGAGGAAAATTTGACAAATATCCAGGTAGGAATTTTACTTTCCTACCAAATTATTCCTGCTAATTTGAATATTCCTGGAAGGAATAACATTATTCCTATTAAGAAATCCTGCTAATTTAAATTTTTCGACTGTTTTTCCTGGCGGATTCCTGATACAATTAAGCTGGAATACGCACACTTTTCTGGT